AAAAAATTTACAATTAAAATTAGCCACACTATTCTGCCCTGAATCAAGTGGGAGTTTCCCTCAGCTCATGGACCTGCCATAGTCAGTATTACGCATTGTTTTTATTCCTATTAGTTAAAAATATTTTACTACGATGCATAAAAATTTTAACCATTTCACATTATCAGTATCTGTAATTTATAAGCATAGTTTCTTTCATAACCTTTACAAGCTTTTTACGTCTACTGCTTAGGCAATAAGCAATATAAATCGAAATAACTTATTGATAAATTTACTATTTGAAATTATAATTTACTGAAATTAACTTGTCTTAGGTCATATTTAATTTTACACATTGATTTAAACGTTATTGTGTGTTTTCTAGTATCTACACATTGATTTCTATTATATGTTGTCTTACGACTGTTTTGAATATGCGACTTTTATTTATTATAATTTCCTGAAAGTGATGTTGCAAAACTTAGTTGTAGGTAATATTTATTTTTTATTAATTTTTATATTAGCCTTAATTCTTACGACGTTCCTATCGAAAGATAAACAGCAATGTTTAAAACCGTAATAAATTTTTTTTTCGTAAGTTTTTTTGGTTGTGAGCACTGTTGTTTAGTTTATGAGACGCTAATATAATTTTTTAGAATATGTTATTTCATTGTTTTATGAGATGTATTGTTAACTTGATGTGAATTTCAACAGTTTTTCTTTAACTTTTATAAAAGCTTAAACGTGAGTGAGGTAAAAAGGATCAATTGAGCCTTTATATTGGAAAAGGTATAAACAATAAAAAATAGTAAATAAAAAAATTATCCCAACCGTGCTGATGAATATTTCTGACAAAATACCAGATCAAAGTTATATATAGTGTTATCTCTGTAAAATCTATATTTTGCATTGATTTAATAATGTAGCTATTATTTTGGAAAATTCCTTGAAAATTCAAAATAAGACATTGGTTTTGTTTGCTCCCTGGTCGTACCATTTTACCTTGCCTGTGGTGTAAAACGGACCATGTGACAAATTTTTGAAACTATTAGGAAACACATTTTTATTATTAGGAACTTTCTGAGAATTTTATTATATATAGTTCTTGTTGCTTATTTTATACGTGTTATGTGTTGTGATGTAGTTCAGTTGGTTTAGACAGTTATGATTACTTAAAATCAAATTGGACCTTTGTGCCCCGCCATACCCTATAGGATCAAAAATAAAAATAGATAGAGCTATTTTTTAGAAATTTCTGAAATTTTATTATCAACCATTTAACTGTAATTGACGAGTATACCCATTGAGAAATAGCAGATTTTTGTTTATTGACGAGTATACTCGTCATGTCTATAACAAATCTTGTTTTATTGGCTATTATTTACATTACAAGTTTTTTTAAAAAAAAGTTATTCTCAAATTTTGAGTCTTTTAAGCATATGAATTTTTCTGAGCATAAAACTGTGCACACAGTTCAATGAGCACACCACAGTTAACTGGTTAAATTATTTTTGCATTAATATTTATACATTTCAAATATACTAGATAAAATAAAGTATGCTTATCTATGAGTTGTTGTAATTAATATTCATTATTTTTCCTCAGATGTCACGAACAGTTGCGGACACGCGTTTCCATACCCTAATTGCACTGTGCATCGCATTGTGCATGAGCACGTGGCTTCCCGTCAATGCCTCGGCCAAGGTAAAGTGAAAGCGAATTTACAATATCGACGATCTCGAAATTATTAATAGAACTGCAGTTGGTACTGCATTCTATAATATAATCGAGAATTCAATCACAAATGCTTTCTTTGAAATTTACTATGAAGCATTTGTGGAAAATCGACGGTCTGTGGACCGGGAGTAAAGGTATTGAAGCTTTTTCTATGAACCCCAGTTTTGGTTACCAATTTTAAGGAAATCATGTGTATGATCAGGTGCCAATTTTTTGAGACACCCTACTACTTTATCACCTTCTAGAATTTAAACTTTGACTATTTTTAATTTTTGTTCTTCGTCTTGATTCTCAAAACATTACTTAAAAACTTGAAAAAAAGTATAGCATAAATATTGATTGTCTTTTTTTACAGTCTTTAAAAAGTCGCATATATTTTATGCCTCTAGACCAAAATACCCTCTTAATTATTTGTGTCCAAAATTCAAATTAATTGACAATATTCATACTTTTTATATTTATAATATTATACTAATTTATACGTTATTTATACTATTTATACTAATTGAAAGACTGTTTCCAATAAGGTTATATTTATACCTTTTTTAATAATTTATGAACATTATATACATTTTCATATTTCCGTCGGGCACTTTAAACTAGCTAGTTTTTATTTTCTCTGACTGGTTACTTATTTGAAACTAAACATTATTTAATAAATTATAGTTATAGTAATGTAGTAATATTTATTTTATCTATATTTATACTATTTATACTAATTTAGGAATTATTTCTAATGAGTCAACAATTATATTCTGAACTGGCTGGTTTTTATTTTTTATTTCTTGCTTCAACTAAATTGTTTGAAAAAATTAATTGAAAATATTTATACATAATATCAATTCTAAGATTGTTTATAATGTAAGCCTCTATCTAAATTCTAAACTAGCCATCTTTTATTTCTTTTTATTTGTTATTGAGAAGTGAGCTATTTAAAAAAGCTTTATTTTTAATCTTTTGAATATATGATATGAATATTTATTATATTTTTAAATAGCATGAATATTTATATTATATATCTATCTTAAGAAACTAAATATCATTGGATAAATCAGCTACTTCTTAGCTTTGAATATTTGTGTAACACTGACAACTAAAAACGGTTTAATGATTTAATTTCATAATTAAAATTAAATGGCAAATTTTATATTATTAATACTGAGTGAGAGTGCTCCTAATGAGGCAATATATATAAATTAGAAGTCTTTTTTTATTTGACCATATAATTTACTACTAATCTTAGTGAACTTTTACCAAATATAATAAAAATAATATAATAAATAAATGAGAATGAGTAAACGTTACCAGTACTACTTCTGCTTTAAATGAAAAAATACATTTGAGTAAGAGTAAAAATAAGTTATATAAATATTTTTTTTTTTTTTTTTTTTTTAACTCTTTTTTTTACAACTGTCCAGTATAGGACATCAGTAAATTTAATGGATTTACAATAGTCCGCCGAAAAGGTACATTGTATACTACTTTGACTTGTTGGAAAAAACAACTCAAATATAAATAAAATAATAACAAAAAAGTATGAAGTTAAATTTTTATAGCAACAAATTTTTATGTAGCACCATAACTGGATGTGTTGTCTTTTTGGAATACTGAATCCTGAACTGACTAGTTTTTATTTTTTTGTTATTGATGGTAACATCTCGTTTGCATTTTTTATTATTTTAAATAGAAGCTATTTTCAAACGTATTTATTTTAAGTTTTTATTGTTGAACATAGCTTGAGAATATTTTTCGAGTTTAAATTAAATGTATTTTTATTTATTTTCTTGACTATTTTTTTACGATATATTATTTGTGGCAAACAAATTAAAAAAATATATAAGTTATTATAATAAGATTTAAATAAAGCTAATGTAATTTAAAAAAATAACTAATTACTCCAGTGAGTTATCAATACCCATTATCTAGTTTAGGCTAAGGCAGGTTCATAGTCCAACATTCTTTGGGTCTTCTTATGTTATTTCTAAAAATGCAGTATAAAAACGTGATAATATTCGCCTGTATGGTAAATATTTATCATAATCATTATTATATCTCGAACTACATGGTTATTCATAATTCGAACCGGTTCGGCACACTATTAATTTATTAATGAGAATATTATTTAAATTATCTTATGAAATATTTAAATACTACCATATATATATATATATATATATATATATATATATGATGTATCAATTTTTTTATAGCAAAAACGTCAAATTTTCCGCGAGCAAGTTCAACCACATTCCGGAGGAAGAATTCCTACTTCTGCATTTCGTGCAGACAGACTTGCTCTGAACCAGCTCAATAAACAAGGAATCACTATTCCTGATGGCATTTTACTAGAACATAGAAGTCACGAGGTAAAACCATTCCTAATGTTATATTATGAATCATCGTGATGAATGCAATTTATTTATTAGAACAAATGAGAATATTGATTCAATATGTATGGTCACTCTATAGCCCTTGTGATATCAAAAAACTGTGGAATGTGTTTTTTATTTTCACTGTTCGAACTTGGCAAAATGATGAAATTATATAATTGGCGTAATGATCGAAAGATCCACAGCCATGTAAAATAAACAAATAAAATAAAAACTTGGCAAAATGACTCGACTACACTAAATAAAAGTCTGCTTGAAAAATAGTTAAAATATTTATTTCTCTAACATGGTAAAACATGGTTAATATTAAAATTCTATTGAAAAACATTATTAGATTTGAAATCCATCATCGTGAAAACTTCTCAAAACACGCTAAACCTAAATTGGGACAAATGAGACTATTTCTTATGATTTATGGTCACTCTATAGTCCTAGTGACATCAAATAGGTAATAAAAATCTGTGGAATGTGCTTTCTATTTTCACAATTTGAACTTGTCCAAATTACTTGGACACACCTTACTTAATGCCTGCTTGAAAAATAGTAAGATATATTTAATACTTGTATATAGGGAATCAACATAAAAATACTCGTATGAATTTATTTTGAAATTGCATATTAAAAAAATTAGTAGTTTGTTGAGTGATCGATATTAGCCATAGATTTTTTGAATATTGCAGAATTTTTACTCGTCTCTTATTTGTTCAATTTTATTATCTAATATAGTTTATTTTTACTCGTCTTTTATTAGTTCAATTTTATTTTCTAATATGATCTATATTTAACTTCCCATATAATAAGGAGCCCTCTATTAATCACGTGAGGTTTTTATGGATAGGGGAGGTTAGACGAAAAATCACGAAATGTCACGTGACGGAGGAAGGGGTATAAAATTGATTGAATGATTTTTTTTAAAAAATCCAAACATTTTCAAAAAATATAAAAAAAATTACAGTTTTTTCTCGTAACTGAAAAAACACGTGATGTTTGGTGGCGGAGGGGGGGTAATTTTGAATATCATCACCTATCACCAAGAAGAAGGGGAGTCCAAAAATTCTTATAAAATCTATAACGTGATTAATGGACGTCCCAAGTTATAGTAATAATGATAACAAATGGTAGTCTGCCCGAAGGCAGGTCCATGGTGTGAGAGTACTACAAATCAATGACTCCCTTTTCCTCTCTTGTTTATTATTCACTTATCATTTTATTAACATTATTCACTATTTTTGATACATTTTTACACATTTTTCTTCCCAAATCTACGCTTCCATGCTTCCTGGTCCTGTGCTTCGGCTTACAGTTCTCTGTATTTTCTCTTCTTGCGTAGATCATCAATCATCTGCATTCTTCATCTTCCCAGCCCTTTCAGTCCTTCTATTTTACCTTCGACGACATCGTGCAGGAGGCACGCTTTTGCAAACTGGGTCCAATCCAGTTTCCTTTTTCTTTAGTGACCGTTCTCAGTAGAATTCATTTTTTCATTCACTCTTTTCAGCACTTCTTCATTAGTTATAATAAATATTTAATGTTATAATAAAAAAAAATGAAATGTTTAGCTTATCTTCACATTTCAAGGCCTTCTGAACATTTTGCATCGGAGAAAAAATGGGTTTATGTTTGTGTGTGTGTGTGTATGTATGAATGTGCGAATACAACTTTTCGTCGACGATATCGAGAGTACGTTATGACTATTTATAATTTTTAACTTACTGGTAATTTTTATTTATCTTCGCATTATTTTGAATTCTTCCTCACAAACTCTTTTATCATTTATGATCTAGGTGTAATGCCTTTGCAACATGTATGTATCTGTATATCATATGGCATTGAAAGATGTACTAAATTATCTACTAAATCAATAATAAATTTCTCCTTCAGGCTTTCCCGTATCAAAGTCGACAAAGAAGCGTCAAAGTAATAAAAGTGTTCCAAGCAATCGATGGCCGTTACGTGCCTTTTTATGGAAGAGAACTGAATCACTTCCCGCAGACCGTGGACACGACTTATGTAATAAGGGAACCTCATCGACCGCAACAATATAGGTTTGATATTTTGTAATAGATGCTATTTTTTAATTTTATTTTTTTAAACGGTTTAACCAGTTATTATGCAGTGGCCTTGCATCAACTAGTTCCGTGTTCGATTCCAACCTCGGCCAACTCGATATCAAGCAGTATGATATCAAATTTTCACTTGAGGTTATATATCTTAAGTGAGGTATATGATCACAAGTGTAAATAGGATTTGGTGGGCATTGCTGCAACATATATATGCCATCACTCTTAGAGTTATACGTATTCAGCTTTCAGTTCCCTGTATTTTCCTTCTTGCGTAGATCATTAATCATATGTATTCTTCATCTTTGCAATTCTTTCAGTCCTTCTTTTTACCATCGTAAAACAATGTCTAAACATAGAAATACGAGTTCAAGATACATAAACTAATAAAAACATTGTTCTGATTGCTGTTAAAATATATACAAAAAAGTTAAAAAAGACATACACAAAAAAAAACAAATATGATGATGAAAGGATTATTTAGTAATTTTATCCACATCTCTGTGTACTTGTTAGATTTATACTTAAAAATCGAGAAAAATTAATAAAAACACAAAAATGACACGATTTTTGCTAATATTTTTGCATTTGACTCATAAACACTTCAAATGTTTCTGTTTTGCTCATTGAATAAAAAAACACTTGAACCGGCATTAAGTAAAATGCTTTAGCACATATTGTTTTTTTTTTGGTCTTTATTTTTTTACTCGTTTTGTTTAGAATGAAACCAACAAGTATTGTACAAATTTTTGCAATCTTGATTAAAATGCGAACTTTCAACGCAATTTGTCAAGGCACTTTAGTACGTTTTTTAAAGTCGACCAATTTTGAAAAAAAATAAATTCATAATTCAACTAATAGTCTTATTTCTAAAAATTAAGAAGTGCAATTGTGTCGTTATTTTTGACTATGGTCCTAAAAAGTGTTATTTGCGATTTCAAAGTTCAAATAAACAGAATTAATAAAAATTAACCACAATAACCAATAAATGGTTACAATTTGCCAAGGCTCTAGGTTGTACTTGAAGGCGCGTAATTTTGAAACTGCATGGGATAATATTTTCTAAAATTTTTTAATGATAGTTACAATCAATACTATTACCCCGTTTCTGCTTGACATCGAGTTCTGGGATACCCTGTATAATAACAATAATGCCAAAGGCAGGTGCATGGTGAGCACCACAATTCTATAATTTTCTTCACTTCTATTGTTTATTATATTTATTTATTGTTTATAATTATTCCCATTAACATTTTATTATTATTAAATGCTTTTTTATTCACTTTTATGCTTTTTTTCAAAATTTCTGCTGCCATTCTTCCTGGCTTAGTGCTTTCAGTTCCCTGTATTTTCCTTTATGACGATATATATATATTATTGCTATTACTATTATAATCATTAATTTTATTATTATTATTGGAGTTCTGCCCCCAGTCAGTTTCATGGTGTAAGAGCTCTGCAATTTTTACTTAATTTCACTGATTTCTCTATTTTTCTTGTCTATAAACGTGTTCGGTGACTAACAATAAGGCTTTATATAAAAGAAATTAATGGCTATGAAGAAAGAAAATATTATATTTTTATTGCCTTTAATTGCGTTTCATTGATAATAATTCATAAGAAATTTAATCGGATCTTATCATGCTTCAAATCAATGTATGTTGTATCTACAAGTGTATATCAGTAATTCAAATGATAACTCTGTTGTATATTTCAAGCATTTGTTATAAATCTACAATGTTTTTATAAATATTGCCCGATTGTTTTCACACTCATTACTGATTATCTTTTATGAAATAGAGTCGAGGTCAGTAACGACGTTACAATCTGGTTAAAAATATAAATGATTGAATTTTATGCAATCCAACTATTTAAATTATTTGAACAAAAGTTTTTATCATTTGATATGACTCACTTTTCAAACCGCGATAAATTACACTATTATCCACAATAGATTCAGCAATTTGTCGAATAATTACAGAAGTTTTTTTTAAGAATTGTTTTGTAAAAATATGGTTTTACCTCAATTTAAAAAAATAGTATTTTACGAGACCTTGCGTTGGCACTGCGCTAAGAAGCATTGCAACCACAAATATAACCTCGAACGTTCTATTTCCTGACAACCTGATATCTAGCAGCAGTGATATCAGTTTTCACTTGAAAATATAGATATAAATCTGATTTAACGTAAAAAATATAGTTTTACGGGGGATTGTTGAATATTATATCTTTACTTATATCTTATATCTAATAATATCTTATCACCAAGAAAGTATGGACAACCTCTAGGTTGCCTTCTAACAGCCTTCTAATAGCACGTCAAGGAAGTATATTACAATAGCTCATAAAACACGTAAAATCTGATTACTAAAAAAGAAAATTAAAAATATAGATATAATATTTTGCTTGTCGCAAACTGGTTTATCTTTGTAAACCACGAAATGTGTAGTTTTGTTAATTATTATCAGCAATATAATGAATCAAATGACCGTGAATATAGATTAACTAATGTGGTTCCTTTTAATAAAATGTCGTCAATAGTGTGAACACTCATATTCTGAATGAACATTGATGATATATTTTTAACTTTCCATAGGATAAAGTTATGAAAATGAAAATTTTTGTATATTAACCTTTCAAAGTATTCTGAACATTTTAGCACACAAAGTAGCCAGATAAACAAAATATAGAAAAATAGTAGAGTGAACAGGTAGATAGATAGAAAGATATACAGATCAACAGGTATGCTGATACGGAAATAGACTGATAGAGCGTAGATTGGTATATTTGTAGATAGGTAGACAGGTAGACAAGTAGACAAGTAGACAAGTAGACTCATGGCCAGATTAAAAGTGAACAAGTAGAAAAGTAAACATGTACAAAAGTAAATACTTCTGTAGGCAATCATGTACAAGTAGACAGGTGGTTCATGTTGAATCGATTATTTACAGATATCAGGAAGTTCATGCAATTTGCCTTAAGGTAGAATGCCATTAGCAACTAGTTTCAAATATAATTATTTAGCGAACGCAATTGGCCACACATAACTATGCTACACACAACCAGAAAAAAATATGTCATAAATAGCAAAGAAAAATCATGGGTTCCCTTCCAAAACAGCCATTTTTTCAATGTAACAAAATAGTTACTAAATGTGTTGATAATAAACAGTGGGGCGCATGGCATCGTGCCTTAAGGCGAATTGCTGGAACTTTCCGTACCCAAAATTATTTTTGTTTAAAAAAAGATTAACATTTTTGAAAAAAAATTTCTCTGAAAAATTAGATTTTTGAGAAACTATAAACTTTTGACAAAATTTACTTTTTTTTAAAAAGAAGACTTTATGAAGAAAAGTGTATTTTGAAATATTTTGGAAATTCTGAACTTTTTTCAAAGCAATCGTACTGCTTTAACTGCATAGAGACGAAATTTCGAAGCGCGTAAGCGCGCGCCGCCGTCTAACGATAAGCATTGGTACGGAACCCACAGGAATTTAAACAAAATTTATACTTATTGTTAAAATCTCTATAAAATATCTGGTAATTTGATGTGCATATGTCTAATGATTTTTATGAAAATTTACTTCATGAAAATTTGATCAGTTCTTCATCTTGTTAATACAAGTAAAATGTTTTTTGAATTATTCAAATCGCTTCATCCGTGTTCCCGAAATCGTCGACGAAAATTTGTATCCGAACACATATACACACATACACACACACATACATTC